TAGTGGAGTAGAATGGCTGAGTCATGTGGTGATTCTATAATTCTATATTTAACTTTTCAGGAAACTCTCCTTGCCTTTTATAAGTCTGCCTAGGATGAGTATGCTGGGTAAACTGCTTGTTCATAGAAGCCACAGAGTGGTAAACACAGATATTTTCTTCCATCATTACAATGACGAATTCTGTAACACTCCAGTCCTACTGACCACAGCAGCCCATCCCTGACGTACTTTGGTTGCTTTCAGGATGGACACAAGGCCTAGGGAAAACCAACCCTAGTCCTTCTTTCTTGTTTTGCCCAGATATAAAACAAACAAACAAAGAAACAAACATGTCCTAACATTCTGGGTTGTTCTCTGGGCAAGATGGGAGTTTTGCGCCATACTAACCCATATGATCCAGAGAACCATGGGTCTCCCACACTGAATCCTGGAGAGGGAGAGCATGCAAAATACTTTCCAGTCATGAGAGAAAAGACCCCCGATACTCACCGAGCCAGAGTGCTAGCTCCAGCTTCCCAGCCAGTAAATGCAGACGCTGGAACTTGGACAAGGTCCTCTGGACCCCCCAGCTCCAAAGACCAGGACCAGCGGTCTGGTATCAGAGGGTAAAGTTAGTCAGTTTCTCTAAAATGAGGAACTGTCAGTTGTCTAGGAATAAAATGACCTGGTCATAAGATGACTGGTAGTGATTTCTGTTGGGCAAAATCAAACTGATGAAAAGTGTGGAGAAAGTTTAAGTCCGAGGAGCAAAAAAACCCAACAGTGTAAATTCATGCTGGCTGCCATAGGTGACCTTGGGGTCATTTTTAGCTCTAAGTGGCTCTCTCTTTTATACTGAATGCCTGCACTGATTTTTTTAGGAACAAGTTAGAGGATGATCACATCAGAAGCCAGGGGTAGAAAGAACCCAACTCCATCACTTGGTTTGAGAAATAAAACCAACTCAGCTTTCCTCTTCTTCACTGACTGCGGGGTGTCTCTGTCAAGCAGTGTTTCATTACGGTGCTGATCCAGTGCCCCATTACATGGGGTCTGAGAGCCAGGCTGGTAAATCAGTTAACTGTTTCAGCTGCCACAATGGGCCAGAAATGAGGGATGAAGGCGAAAAGACAGACCCTGCCCCAACACACATAGCAGTGATTACTGGCTTCTTTTCTTTCTTTCTTTCTTTCTTTCTTTCTTTCTTTCTTTCTTTCTTTTTTTTTGGGGGGGGGGGGCTTTCCTACTAGACCATGTACCCCATGAGAGCTGGTATTGTGTTTGGTTTTGCTTACCATTATCTCCCAAGTGGCTCACCCAGTGACTGGCACATAGTAGATGCCCAATTAACATAATAGTGAAATGAGTAAACAAATGAATGGAGGAGAAAAAAGAGGGTAAAAATAGGTATTTCCTTTCATTTCCACTTCCTCAGGCCCACCCCTCCTCCCTCCCTCCTTCCTTCCCTCTTACCTTCCTTCCTTCCTTTCTCTTCCCATGACATGGATATTTTCATCTATCAATTTCTGAATAATGGAGTTACCATACAGGGAAATGTAAGCAGGCCACCTCCGTACGTCCTCTATAGAACAAGGTCCAATACATCATTATCTTTAAGGTTAATGTGAAGAAAGCCTAGTAGTTCCATTTCATTTTTTTAAGGAAATTTGGGCCATCTCAGGGACTCACCAGCTTAGGGGGAACAGGTATGCCTTTATGAAATACTTTACTGTCTTGCAGAGGATTGTAGTGAATTATTGGGACACTGCAAGGTTTAAGACTGATGCTTTCTGAAGCATGAAAGAAGTATCTGTAGCTTTTCCTTTTTATGTTTAAATTACTTTGCTTCTTACTTGACTACTTTTTCTGACCTTTTAGAGTGCTGCCTTCTTTCTATTTCTCCTTGAGTTCCTTAACCATTTTTAAAAGTAGTTTAGATACACGTCTTATGAGTTCTTCTTTCTTAGCCTTCTGTCCTCATCCTTTCAGCTCATCCTCTCCTTACCTGACCCTTCCACATAAAACCTTGCAATATTATTATGCTCTTTGCCCCACTCCATCCATCTTCTTCTTTTTCTCACAATGCGATAGATAATGTGAAGCTACGGATCTATAAAACACTCACTTCTCATTTTCAAGTGAACACGAAGTTATGACCAAAGGGTTCTGTTTGTAATCCATTTTCCCCCAAAATGAATGTAACGGGAAACTTGGTCAAATCCACTTAACCTCTTGCACATTTCACCTTGGGATTAATGTTCTTCATGTTGTCCTGCACTGAGCTTTGACAGGATAGAGTGAGCCAAGAAGGTACAGAGAAAAGAGAAGCAAAACTCATCTGAACCAAGTCTCTAGTACTTTACAGCTGTGTGGCCATGGGCAAATTACTTGACATCTCAGTTTCCACGCTCCCAATCTGTACAGTTTGGTTGACGTCACCCATCTCCAGGAGTCACTGAGGAAATTAAATTAAATGATGACACCTATTTAGAACTACCGCGTAATGGATACTCAAGTTATGAAAGCCATAATGATGATTTAGGCTTTTAATCAGCAAACATTTATTGAACTTGTTTGATAATGGCAGAGGGAGGAGGAAATGAAAAAGAGCCCTTGATTTCCTTTCTCATATGTGAGTTACAATCACTACAGTTTTTGCATTTTATCTTGGGGACAAATATAACCTTCAGCTCTGACCAATAGTAAATTCTTTTATCCATTCAACGAATACTGGGAGTCCATTCTGTGTTCACAAAACAATGAGCGAAATCAGGCATGAGACCAGATCTCATGGCACTCGTCTGTGCTATGTTTCTAGAAAGCAGTGGTTCTCAACCAGGCAAATTTTCCCATCGGTCAATGTTAGGAGAAGGGTTAGTTGTCACAACTGGTTGCCATTGGCATCTAATGGGCTGAGGCCAGGGATACTGTTAAGCCTCTACCGTGCTCAGGAGGGCCCCACAACAAAGAACAGTTTGACTGTGGAGAAACCCTGCTTTAAGGGAAGGGATAAAGATGAGATAATCCACCATTAAGGCAAGGAGTAAAAACAGCCAAGGCAGACTTCATCACCGCTTTGGGCTCTCTCCGACCCTAAGCTGCAATCGTGAGATTAGGATTTCCTGTAACTGCCATAGGAAGGCAAGTGTTCCTGGGTGCTACAGTTAACTGGTACGGCTCAGCCCAGAGGCAGGGGGATGGACCAGATGCTCACTTCAGGGCCCGTCTTGGCCTCCTGCTGCAATGGCTGGCCTGGGGACGCTGGGGCGTGCAGCTGGCATCCATGGCTTTGCATTACAGTCCATGCTTTCGGGCTCCAAAAGCTGCCACTAGGGAAGCCACTGCGTTTGAGGAGCTGCAGAAGCAGCACTTCAGTAGAGATAGTTAGATAAATAATCCTGAATAAAATTGCATATTTTCAAGTGCTTTATTAATACGGTTGGGTAGAGAGCATGCTAAATTCCTACATTGCGGAGATGGAGGCTACGAGAAGAGGATTAGGCGCAGAGCTAAATGAGAGGGGGCAGGGGAAGGAAAGGACAAGGCAAAGGCAAATTGCTCCCTTTTGTGTGTGTGTGTGTGTGAGAGAGAGAGAGAGAGAGAGACACGCAGTGAGGAAAGATACAGATACATGAATACAGAACACTCGCTATGCTTTGTAGCGGTTCGGGGGAATGGAGGACGCACTGCGGAGGCCACCGTGTATGTGAGTGAAGTGGCATGATACTCTTACACCAGGATTTGGAAACTCAAGTGTCCCCAGTGCTGAACGGATCCCGTAAATGACTAAAGCTGGCCAGGTGACAACTTTGGAGGGAATGCAGGAAAAAATGCATTGCCAGAGGGGATGACAATATCTTAACTCTGGTCATATACCTTGTAGCGGGTGGGAGAAGCCAGAAATTCATATTTTCACATGAACTGTTACCTGCTCTCTCTCTCTCTCTCTCTCTCTCTCTCACACACACACACACACACACACACAGAAGCTCACACATAAGCACCACGTGAGAAAACAAGGACCATATCTGAAAGTTGTAAAGTCTTCCTGCCTTGTGACCCTCGAAGTTTAGAATCGCCCTCTTGAATTTTCTTTTAATGACATATGTGTTCCCTTATTCATTTTCAGAGGTTTCCTATACACAGGAACATAGGTTCTGAAGTGAGCTGGGAGTCCACACAGTGTTCCTGGTTAGCTATGACCTCAGACCCATTGCTGAGTTCCCCCATGCTGCCTTTTCTGGCTTGGGAGTTTGACTCTGGACAATCTACTTAACAGAGTGGTTAGGAACAGAAAATAAGCTAACTGTGTAAGCACTTAGCATTGTTCTAGCACCAGACAGAGCTACCAGATGTTGGCTCCTTTCTCCCCAAGGAGATGTAGTTGAAAGCAGTTGTTATGACAGGCAAGAGAAAAATCCAGAATTCTGTCCACAGAATGTACATGCAGGCAGGTGGAAGGTCAATACAGGTTGCCCCCTTACAATTCTTTCTATCTGATTCCCTTAACTGAGGCCCTACAGTGGACTCATGTCCCCCTACATCTGCCAATAATTCCTTTCCCCTTCCAATAAGAGTAACTTTTTTTTTATAAAGAAAATCTCCTTCTCCAGCTCTAGTTTTATAAACTATAGTACAGAAATTATCATTCATACCGGAGCCAAACCTGTCTAATCAGTATATTCCATGTTTCAGACCAGAATAATTGTTTCAAGGAGGGTATGAGATACATGAGATGCATCTCTGTGATGTTGCCTTATACGATTCAGAAAGATGTACTCCTCGATGCTGGTGTTGATAAAATGATAAGGTCTAAGGCCAGAGTTGCAGGTGGACATCTTGCCACCATTTAGGAAGAATGTTCCATGGAAAGAAGTCAGCATCAAGAGAAGCAGAGCCTAGAGATAATTTAAGGCATATTCCTAAGGCCGTCCTCATTTGGTCACCTTGATCCAGCCATACCTGAAACCCATTTTGGAACATAAAATTCACAGTTTTAAAAGTACAACGTGTTGCACTTTTGACTAAAGGCAGTTCTATTTGGATTTCTGTCATTCATAGAGAGTTTGGAGAACAAAGAACCACTCCAGCATAGTTATCTTTTCAATTAGCAATAATCGCGCCTCGGATAAACCTCATTGGCTACGATACTGCCACTGCGCAAAGCTAGCATAGTTATCTTTTAATGCAAGGCTAAATCCCATTGTTTCATATGGTTTGTGGAAGGGAGACAATCTGCAAACTTCCATGTAGATTCATACTTTCTACTTTTTCCACAGTATGACAGATAAGCTAAGTGCGTGCCTTTGGAGAAATATAGTTGGCAATACAGCTATTTCCTCTACTACCTAGGGCCTTTGAACAAGTTACTCACAATTTCCTTATCTATATAAAAGGTAAACGATCATCTTCTTTATAGGGTCATTTTGAGGACCAAACAAGATTTTTTGGAATTCTGGGATATCAGTCACTACTCTTACTACTCTTCATGCCTACTATTTCTGGAACAGTTTAAAGATTTTATTTATTTATTTGAGAGAGAGAGTGCATGTGCACACATGCACAAGTTGGGAAAGGGCCAGAGTGGGAGGGAAAGGGAAAGCAAGAAGCAGAGAAGCTCAAGCAGTCTCCCCGCTGAACATGGAGCCGGACACGTGACTTGATCTCACAATCCTGAGATCACGACCTGAGCCAAAAACCGAAAGTCAGACACTTAACCAACTGAGCCACCCAGGTGCCCCTATTTCTAGAACAAGTTAAAGAGAAGTATATCCCACAATGTTTTGACCTAGTGCCTCACATACAGCAGGTGCCCAACAAAACAGACTATCATCATCATCACTCTCCTCACCACTGACTTCTAGGGCAGTGCTTCTCTAACTCAAAGTGCACTGCATTACCTAGGGATCATGTTACATTTCAGATTCTGATTCGGTGTGTGTGGGAGGGGTCCTGAAATTCTTCATTGCTGGCCATTCCCCAAGTGATGCTGGTGGTGCTGAGCTTTGGGGTAGTCCTTGAACAACGAGGACACAGGACACACAAAGCCAGGGTAGCCCCAAAATGAGAATCTTAATCGACTATAGGATATTCATGGTTCTTCCAAAACAAAACTTATTTGACCCTCCTATTTAATTTTAACCAAATAAACATCTCTATTTGGAAACATGATCTCCACCCCATCCCAGCACACGCTCCACTGAAAATCTAAAGCTCGAACATCCGGATGTCCAGACTTCTCCTATACCAGTTACATGCGAAGCTCTCAGGATGGGGTCCAGGCAGTGATAATTTTTAGCTCTATAATTTGAAGGTGAGACTGAGACTCACCAGACTAGAGGGTCCCAAAGAGGGACATCATAGCGACTCCAAGAAATCCCCATGGGCAGAATTCAAATAGCACCAGGGCCGCTGATAACTTTCGATAGAGTGAGTATATTGACATGAAACCACAAGACTCGACTACTAACATTCAGAGAGACATAGTCCAAAATTTTTGCTTAAACTAAGACCAACATAAGTCACTTTATAATTGGAATATTAGCATTACACATTAAGCCTCTTCTTTAACTGAGCTTTTTTTTTTTTTTTAAGAAAAGGAGGGAGTCAGGGGAGAACATGTTATTTGAAAATATAGTTTCTGTAAAACCTAGAACAATCAGCCTAAGAAACCAGTAATTTCATTCCAATCGTCTAAATTTTAAAACTATATATTAATAATATATTTTTCTTATGTACTTATAATTCCTATTATTTCAGAAAGTGCATAAGGCATATAAGATGGCATATCCCTATCCTGGTATATGTCCACTGCAACTCAGTACATTTAACCTATAAGGTGTGCTAACCAACCAGCCATGAGAGATATATGGATTTTAATAAAGAAATTGCTACTTCTAGAAAGAAAATAAAGTGCTCATTTAGTTTAGGAAGTATCCACATTTCTATCAGACCAAAAAAAAAATAAATTACCAGGGACCAGTGCTCTGCTTCTATGCGCCTTGCTCATTTCCTTCCACACCGAAGGCTCCACTGAGGACAGAAATTGTATATTCTGCCCTTCCATTTGCCCCATAACATCCAGCCCTATATGGGATTCAGTATTTCTGTGGCTCCTTGCCATGAGACACAGAAATGAATAGCAAAACCTGAAAGATCACAGTTTGGGACTCAGCTAACCTGAATGGACGCTTGAACTCCTGCACAATTCTTGGCCAAGTGAACTCACCTGTAAAATGGGAGTTCCACTAAGTGTCTCCCACAGGTAAAGCTCTGGAGCATAAGCTATCCTGTTATGTTCTTAACATTACCAGTGCTCATTTATCATGAGCAAATGAAAAAGACTCTTGATCTTGGTTTCTCTTTTCAGGTCTATCGATGGAACCCACCATGGACACCCATCAGATCCTGAAGCGTTCTCTGCTACTGACTGTCAAACTCCGGGCTCACAGAAAAATCCTGCGCCCTGTTCTGAGAAGGAGAGGCACCACGTGGTTTCACCTGACCCTGTGAAGCTTCCCCTGGAGGTCTTCCCTCCTCATTACTCTAATCTCAGACTTGCATTCTTAGGCTGACCCAGCCATTAACGATAACCTTCTTGGTCCTGCCCAACCCGCCCTGCGCTCCAGCCTCTAACCCTCATAGATGCAAGTGACCTGGCCTCATCCAGTCCAGAAGCTAACCTCTCCGGTGGCTGCTGACATCGGAACAGAAATCTGTCCTTCAATCAGGCTTTAACCCACAAGTCTGGGAAGAAGAATGGAGCGTGGGCCAGACGAGCTTGGCCATAGTGGAAAGCAGTCTCCCCTGAGTAAGGGGGGACCCTCACAGAAAGAAATTTACCATGAATGAGAAGTCTGGTTGGGCAAAGCTAAGTGAGTGAGGATCCTGGACAAAGACCCTTTTCTGTAAGCCATTGAAGAACGCCTCTACCCGGAACGTGGCCATCCTTCACGGTGAATGCCCTGGAGAGCTGCTTGGAGCTGCACTGCTCCCTGCTTCTGACCTGAATCACAGCTGCCGTGGCGCACACTCTGTGTCAGACACTGGGCTAACCCTGACACATTATCTCATTTAATCAGCACGACAACCCGATGAGGAAGAAAGGCTGACAAGTGCTAAGGAGGGTGTAAAAAGCACACAGTTCACAAGCAGCAGTGGGCAGATTTGAACTCGGGTGCCCAGATGCATGGCTGCTGTGGGTGCTGCCTCCCTCCCTTCCCTGGGTCCCATTATCCCAAGAGCTTTAGCAAGCATTATGTTGTCACTTTCTTGCCCTGCCAACGTTTCAAGGGGCACAACTCATTCTGACAGAACTCTGGGTCGCCACAAGCCCTAAACAGTTCTGTAAGAATGAATGAGAAAACCCTCATTGCTGAGGAATGTATTAATAATAGGGACTGACACAGACACTACCTGCACAGCCAACCTGAGACTTGGCACGTTAGGGCTGTTTGCCTGTCAGACAGCGCTGTAACTTCAACGGCTGAAACTCACTGCATTCATGGAAAATAAACAAGAGCAAAGAGGAATGTGAGTCCCCTTCTGGGCCACCTCCCCTCTGCTCTGGTCATTTCTGCGGCCCTCTCTTGCTTCCGGCTGAGCTTCTGAAACGAGGCATCTTTTTTTAGCCGGAAAATTCACCACCGCCTTTCATAACATCAGCTGGAAAGAGTGACATGCAGTATTCAAAACCTGGCTTTGTGTCTTCATGAGGAAATTTTAAATGACTGATAGGCTGGCTAATAATGGTAAAAAAATAAAATGCCGTCTCTCCATTTTCCCAGCAGGAGAGAAACCCAGGGCTTAGATAGCTCTTCTGAAGTGCATGGCTTTCTACCCATTTTCTGGCTGGGCACACCGAGACATCAGTTCCTGGGCGTTGTGAAGACAAATCTGGAGATAAATCGGGAATTCCTCTGAGAAGAGAAATCAATTTTTTTCAGCGTGTCTGCTTTCTGGGGTCTCACTTCGGAGAGATGTGACCATTATGGTAGGGTAACAAACTTCGATGAGCAGTGAATAACCATGCTAAAATTTTAAAGTGTGTGTGCGGGGTGAAGGGCAATGCAGAAAAAACAAAAAAAAAAAAAAAAGAGCCAGAAGCTAGAATTCCCCTTTTATAATTTGGCCACCTTGCCTTCTGAGACCTGCCTGGTGGTCATGTCTTTTTCTGACAATTTCCAAACTACTTCTTGGACCCTTATAATGTGCAAAGCAGCTGTTTGGGGTCACACTCCCTAAAAAGGCAAAGGTAGTTTTTTACACAGATATCTAAATAGGAGCCACAATATAAAATGCAACAATCAAATCAAACCTCAACTAGTCACAACCATTCTGGCCTTACCTTTCAGCACACGGTGAACACATACCTCCCAGTCCAAAAACAAACCCAGTAAACCAAGCTCTTCATGGCTGGGACTGTAGAACAATGGGATGTTCTCTTAGCTGGAGAGCTATCGTTTTATCAGTCTGCGATATGCAAACTCATTTAGATTCCCTGAGCGCACATCCAATAAAACAGTCCCAGAAGTATACTGCATCCTGACAGACAGAAAGCAGTATGGGATATCGATGTTCTTAGAGATCAGAAGATCATGGGGCTATGGGATGCCCGTGAAGCATGCTGATTCTAGGGATACTCCTGATATAAGACGATCAAAGTGGGTTTGGGAATTCCACTTTGGGATGCTAAGACCAGCCTCCAAGATGATCGCGAGACAGGTCCAGAGACCACAATCTGAACCATACTGCCACAATCATTTACAGAGCAGACAGCTGAAAAGCATGGGGAACAGTTCTCAACCGGAAGGAAGATGAAGCCATCGTACCTGAAAGTATGTAACTGAAAATGGTGTGTCTTCCAAGAGACACGTCAACATTAGGGTCACAGCCACCGTGGGCCCATAAAACAGAATACACACGTGGTGAAATCTTAGAATTTGGGATCACCATGCCTTCTCTAATGTTCTTATGCATTGCTCTTTATTTGAGCATCAACAGCTCGAGCTGTTGGCCTGTGTTGCATACACGGTACACAGTTTGACAATGACAGCACGCTCAGTGTGGTGAGATGCCAGAGCCACTAGAGATGGCCAGGAAAGGAAGCCCACTGAGGGGCGCCTTATTGAGTCTTTTCTCTCTTGCCCACATCACAGCAAGCTTTCCA